GAGTTTTGCAATGAACACCTAAATATTTTGTTTTATCAGCTGAATGTATGAGAGTACTTGTATTGTATTTATAAAGAGGTAAATAACGGAAATTTATTTTTAAGGTTTTTGAACGGCATATACATGGTTTACTGAAAATTGATTGTTAGATATTTGTATCTAAACCAATCTGAAACAAATATGATATCATTTTCAACAGTCTCTTTAAAGCTATCGCAGGAATTTTTATTAGAATAAAGTATCGCTATGTCATCTGCAAAGCATATTATTGTGCCTTGCGACTTCAAGCTAAGTAGGCTATTGGTACACACAGTAACGGGCCTAAAACTGTCCCTTACACCATACACCATAAGTCACAGTATTTTCTGAACTTATGGAATCATTTATTTCAACATATTGCTTTCTGTTAACTTCTCATAAAATTTTGAACGTTTCCTCTAATTCCTGCATCGTATAAAGTTTCCAATAGTTGCGAGTGATCCACCGCGTAAAAAAACACTATCAATAAAATTTACGGGTCAGTCAATGCAAAACAGCTGACAAGTGGCGTGCAAATTTAGGCTCTAGCTCAATAAAGCGGAGAGTAGGGGGGGTGGTTAAGAGCGACAGTGACTTAAGCTCAAATCCCCGAGGTGTTAGTCGGAACGTGTTTTGCTTGACCACCGCACAAAAGAAAAGAATGTAACAGTAATGATGAAACCTAATTAATTGTACACACAGAGCCAAATAAAACTAGATATTTAAAAAAGATATGTATACTTTGAAGTTGAGTCATTAATTTTCAGATAATGATTGTAGAAGGAAGATAAACCAAAATATGTGTGTAAAAATAAAAAAAAAATTTTACCTTGTTTTATAAAGTATCCTCCCGACAAGTATTTCAGTGCGGACCTGTATTTGATCGTGAGGTCCCCTGTGAGGTCTTAAGTCACCTGATTCACGAGCCCGTTGTACTACATTAACAAAGACACGAGGGGTTGGTTGCACTCGATTGGGAAACCGATCCGCATAAACATGTGCCATTTTTTATTTCGTTTGAGCCACGCAACACACTATTCACTGACACTGACTGTATACAAATGAATAAAATAATTGTAAAAACATCGTTCCAAATTCTTTCGCTTTTTTGTTTCCGACGCAATGAGCCGATACGGCGGATTATATCCGTTGTCGCCAAACACGAGCACATAATATTATTATTGAGACAGGGCGGTACTCAAACTTCCAAAGGGCTATAACTTTGTTACTTTAATTTTACCAGAAAAATGGTAAAGGAAAAAACATTTCTTTTGATCAGATCTACTCACTGTTAAAATAAATGACTCGACTTCGAAGTCACCCTGTATATATAATCAAAACAAGCAGCACATATGATCCATCACTGAAGTGCAAGTTAAAAGAAAGGATATTATTCAAAGCTAACCCTGCAAAACGTTTACCATGGTACATGTACAAAGGATTTACAAATATAGGCCTTACAAATATTTTTACGCCCAAACATAAACTTCTCCTCTGGATCGAGATAGTGGTCTTATCTGGATAATGGCCTTCTTCCAGTTACAGATCTAGGCACAGCCGAGATGTCCTCAGCTCACAAACGCTCAAGTCAAAAACCAGTGGGCAGTGACGTGAGGAACGTCACAAGGTAGGGGCTGCTTGCCTCGTTTTACAACATTTACGGTATAAAAAACTCTAGAGAGAGAAAGACTGCTTAAAAATGTACTCTCTATCCTCTGTCTGAGATGGAACTACACATTTAAACACTCGAAACTTGAAGAAAAATCCTTGTACATTCTCTTTCACAAGAAAAGTAAAGCAAAGTTATCCCTTGTTCTAAGATAAGTTGTGGCAGCTCAAAAATCCAAAACATTATTAATGTAATGTAGTAAGCCCAATAGACGGTGTCATGTAGGCACTGCCACCTATTTGAATACGTAAAATGCCAAACAAATTCAAGTATACTCTAAGAATTTTAGTCAGCAACAATAAATATATTAATATCTATAAAATACCCAATTAAAATGATGTTTTACTTGTTCACATCAGGGTTTTTTTGTCAAAGGGAAGGGATGGCTCCCAACAAAATAGGCTGCGAAGCGGCTACAAAGAAGCTACAAAACAAAACTGAAGTAGCAATGCCTTTCCACTAAAAGGAGGCAGATATTGAACAAATTTCTTCAGGACGTGCACTAATGGACGTGGTCCGATGGTAAACAAAACAGAACTTACCGCTGGAGGTTAATATTCCATTAGAAAATGGACGGGATAGCACCCAAACCAACACAACTAAATGTAAGGTACAAAATGAAACGATACTACTCCATAAATTGGTGTTTGGGACTCTAATATCCCAGAATCTGGAAACTAAATCTGAAAAGTAAATAACGCAGAAAACTTAGAATCAGGTTAAATGATTGGCCTTGAAGAAGGTATCTTGATAGGACCCAATATCCGTACACGGCTAGTACGTACGGAAATCACATGGTGGCGCTCCCAATGGGCAGAAAACCAACTCTACGAGGGTCCAACGATATTTTATCAGGAAATTTCGAAGATAGTCGTTAATAATACTATAACATTAGTGTCCAAAAGATTTAAACAAAATTCTGAGTCGCTGAGAAAGAAAGATATAATACAATCAATAAACTATGGAATTTGCCGAAAGAGAATCATTGGAAAAAAGGATTTGCCTGGGAATCGGTACTCTATAATCAATAAAGAGAAATTCAAATTACTGGTAAGTGACCAACATAACAAAAAAAAAGATTATGTGATTTTGGCATGTGCCAGCGCCAACAGGAATCAGTTTCCAAAGTGAGCAAATAAAAAATATATGGTTGTTCTTTCGAAGAAATGTTACTTCCTACTCATAATACTAAATAAACTTACCTTTGATAATCTATAGAGAAAAACTGCCCCAAAATACACCACACACGATTCTTATTGCGTGACTACCTTTTCAATATTATTATTTGAATGTGTCTCAGTGACAGTGACGGACATCGCACCAAAGGCAACGTTTTTTGACAGGCTGTCGCATCTAATACTTACCCTGTGCTCTGAGAGCAAACTTTATTTCCATAAATTTAAAGACACACGTTACATAAATTTTGTCCTACCGCATTTTCTTATTGTACGAGTTTTTCATATACTCGTATATGCTTACCTTTTTTGGTATTTGATAGCTCTTTATTAAATCTGTAGATGTATTTTCAAAAAGTGAGTGAAAACAACACGCCTCTATCACCCAATACAGCCGTGCGTGTGCGTGTGTGTGCAAGAGCGAGTAGCAGCGCCGTTTCGGATCGACTTGCACAGTGTGCAATTTTCTTTAGGGAACCTATAAGACAACCATAAAAAACTGTGAAAATAACAATACGTCGAAAGTACAGTCAATTTCTGAGAATCTGCTGGATACATATTTCTATTTGTCAACCTTGTGTGTGACACGGTTAAGCATGACTGATAAAATAATTATTACCTGTATACCTAAGTTAAAATCTACATTTACACTGCGCCAAGAGAAAGCAAAATAAATTATTTTTTGTCGTCTAATTGTACCAAATGGGTAAAGTTCCCACGAGTATGGCACTACAAATCGTTCATAATAAATAAACATGAATATATATATATAGTCTACGTTCATTGAGATATAATGTCTGGTAAATACATAATATGCCTATGAAGTAATGAATGAATTACAGATACGCACTACTTACTGTATCAATCAGATATGCTGATAAAGACTAACAACAAATTGAATAAACCGAAATCTATAAAGAACGTTTAAAATTTACATGACCGGATGTCGTTATCGATTTCCATCTATAAATAACATACGATAAGAGGTAGGGTTATTTCAGATTTAAAATCTACATTTACATAGGCATTTCCTTAATATGTATAGCTAAAACAATATTCTCAGGGCTTATTCATAATGACACGATGCGTCAAGCACGCGACAAGCGAGAGTGTCTACACAGTTGCATCTGGCAGTCTTTCGGAAATGCATAAGGTAAAAATTATGCTGCAATTCGATAAATTGTTACGTCTCTGCCGCAGCGCTTGTAGCCGTGAGTTCTGTCGCACGAGTAGGGATGGCAACGATACATCGATGTATCGAACAAATCGATACATCGATGGTTTTATGACGATATATCGATGTATCGACATCGAAAGGATCATAAACATTGGTATACCCCGAGTATATCCTTAACTGTGCTACCATCTCCAAGCGAGGACTGGTAGCTACTAAATTGAAAGCCCAGAAATATTATCATTACAGACGTAAGATGGACTATAGTGTTTTATTCATTCTGTACTTCCCCAAGGGATATAAAAAAATAAACTGAAAACAGCGCATTTACGCATTTAATGATTTCAGGTTCTTTTGATTATTTTATTGTATGTAGTTGTAGTGTCGGTGATTTATTGTTAACTAATCGACATGTCACGAAAAAGTTATGTGTGGAAGTGCTTTAAAAAACACTCTTCAACTTGTGACAGTGTAAAGTACATGTATTTAATGATCATCAGTGTGTTCTTAATTTTGACAATCTCATATCTTGTAGTTTACTATAATCATACTTTTTTATTGAAGTATATTGCAGTCGGTATTCTTCTTTCATCCTATCGTGAAGTTGCTGTCGCGTTTTTTATTCTTACTTAATGGTTCTGAAATCAAGAAAACAAAACGCAGAGGGAATTCCACCTACTGATAAAATGACCAATCCGCTGAAACCGACAGCAATCGATGAATTCGTTGCTGAATTGAAAGCAGAAAACGTTAAAAAGAATTGTTTCGATACAACGATGTATTTGTTTCGATGTATCGACCTCCATCGATGTTACGATTGATGTTTTCTAACAAATTGCCATCCCTATGCACGAGGCGCCTCTGAAAGTCGTCTTAATTATTCTCTTAGTTGCAGGTTCATTTTTGGATGTTAATATTTGTCGATCTGATGAAATCAGTGACCACATCTGAACGGTCAAAACGCATGTCGATTTTTATTACTTTATATTCCAGTTCCAACGTATCAGAAAAAATTTTTACATATACAGGGTGGGCGTTATGTAACTGACTGGTTTGTATCTTGAATATTTGTGAAATAAAATTAAGTTCATTTTTTCATCTTAATCTTTTATTGAAACTAGAAATTATGTATGAAAAATAATATCAGACAAATTTCCGCCTCTAGAAGCCGCGCAAAACCTGAACCTTTTGATTACGTTTCCCGTCACTTTTCGGTAGGTTCGGGAGGAATATTTTCAATCGCTTCCGTAATATTGATCTTCAGATCTGTATTTGATTTGTTAGCATACACCGTATTTTTTAAAGATCCCTATAAAAAAGTCAGGAACCGTTAAATCTGGTGACCTTGGGGGCCAGTTGACGTCACCAAGGCGAGAAATTGAACGTCCCGGAAATATTGCTCGAAAAAGATTAATTGTTTCCCTAGCTGTGTGACAATTTGCTCAGTCCTGCTGTAACGACATGTTTTGCAAGTTAATTTTTTGGATTTGAGGTTCCAGAAAGTTTTGCACCATATCACGGTAGCGATCGCTAGTGACAGTAATACAATTACGTGCTTCGTCTTCAAAGAAGTATGGTCCAATGAAACCTCCATACCAAACACCGTATCAAACTGAGAGTTGACGAGGAGGTGGTGGTCGTTGCTGGATGACACGAGGGTTCTCTAATGTCCAGATACGACAATTCTGTTTATTGACAAATCCATTCATATCGAAGTGGGCTTCATTCATGACTGTATTGTCGGCGACTTTCATGATCATTAGGCTGTAGTTCTTGGGTTAACTGAATTTTGTATGGCCCCGAATGCAAGCCTTTTTTTTTAAATACTGCATAATGACGTGCGACGAATACCCCAGTTGTTAGCGATGTCTTGTAGACGTCTCAGGGCGCTCCACTACACTTTCATGAACTCTAATTATTTCCAGAGTACGAACAGTTTGAACACGGCCCGTAGCTTCCAAATCGTTGCAACAATCGCCTCATTATTTAAGTAAAACGTTTTAACAATTCGGACGCGTTGTCATCAATCCTATTTTCGTAAGAATTGAAGTACCACGACTTCACTCCCGAATCTAGTAGACTAAGTCGTTAGAGCAAGAGATAAAAAATTAGCATCGACACTCGTCAACTCAAAAGCGTTCGACTGTATTGATCATCGTATATACAAAATCGCAAACAATAGGTCTCGTTGAACAACATCGCTTCTTCTATTTCAAACGCTATATCCGAAGTACCACAAGGCTCAATTCTTGGGGCAACTTTATTTTTAATATACAGATATACATGAATGTATAAATCACTCATATGTACAAATTTATGGTGATTATAACTAAATAATTAATAATTTCAATCCACAAGATCTCCGAACAGCTATGATTCAAATCAACAGTGAACCGAAATCTCCTGTGCTCAGAAAATGATTAAAGTAAGATTAAAGGGGATTTCAGTATATTTATCAATAGAGTTAAACTGAATTTCTGTAATGTATCAAACATTTCAAGTATACAAATTGACAAGCAGCTTCGTTTGAGACAACACGTTAATACTTTAGTCCAAAAAGTATACATACGAATTCGTTCACTATACAATAATAATTTCATTTTAAGTAAGGTGTATATTAACTGAAACCTTGGTTCTCTCTATTGTTAAATAGGAATTCTTAGTTTATTTTCCTTGTTTAGACCAAATAAATAATGCGTACGCAAAATCCAAATGATACAAAAAATATGCTATCGCTTTATTAATGAACATATCACCATATATCTCAAAAATTTGAGGATTTGAATTGGGTTAAAAATTCCAGTAGCATTCCAACAAGATTTTTGTACATAAATTTAGATCAAAACTGCATACTTTAAGCATAAGAGATAAACTATCCCTAGACATGCCTTCTCACTCAACAAGGTTGTTCCATAAAAGTTTCACGTTTCAAGTTTCAGAGCAGCGGTTAAGCAATATATGTACGATTGATACTTGAAAATTATTACCCCATGAGAACATATTAACAAATAGGGTAAGTGAGTTTCTAGGGTAAAGATAGGTTTGTTTATTTCAATTGTCTATTTGAGCTTTTTTATTTCAAAATGTTCCAGTGTACTACATCGACCTAAGGTTAGTTGCAAGAGTAGCTTTGAGCTAAATCTCGCCTCTTGTAGATAATAGTGATAAAGACGATAATTATTAGTAGAGGGTAATATTTTTAGAATTAAAAGTATATCTACAGAAGGAATGAAAGCACCGACTGCCCCTTTTTACAGTACTACTAACAGAATAAGCAATATACAGTACCGAGCAAAAGTAGAGAAACAAACCAAATTACAAATAAAAATCCAGAAAGATTAACCCTAACCCAAAACTGTGCATTAAAGTTTTTTGTGTATGACTACCTCAAGATAATGAAATGCTTATATTTGTATACATTCTTTTTTTTAATATAATATGGTCGGTCTTTTGTTCAATGAGCAAAAGTAGAGAAACATTTTATAAATATTTAGTTTGTATTTAGTCGTTGATTAGAATAGGTGTTATTTTTGAGTGTATATGGTAAAATGTAGTTCAAAAACATGGCCAGAGGAATTACATTGAATTTTGTAAATTAAAGAATTGATTATTTTAAAATATCGATCAGGCACTAAACAAGCAACCATAGCCAAACAGCTGAATTTAAGCCGATCGGTAATTTGCAAAACTATTAAGCTGTTCCGCCTCAGAAAATCGTTGGTAAGCCCTCCTAAGACTGGTAGACCACGAAAAACCACACCTAGGATAAAAGCTCAACTTGAAGAAGTGAGTATTGGTGTCCACACTGTTCGAAGACGTTTAAGGGAGAGTGATTTACCAGCAAGGAGACCATCTAAAAAACCCTTTATTTCCAAGAAAAATCGAAACGCTTGTCTTCAATTTGCTTACGATCATTTGAACTGGTCAGAAACTAGGTGGAAATCTGTATTATTTTCTGATGAAGGTACATTTAATTTATTTTCATCGGATTGAATTTTATGGGTAAGACGTCCCAAAAACAAGCGATTCGAAAGTTCACTTTGGGCACAATCAAGCACGAAGGCGGGAAGGTTCAAATATGGGGTTGCTTATGTGGTCTTCAAACGGGACCCATCTTCAATATTGAAGTTATTATGGACTGGTACAAATACTTGGAAATATCAACTGATACCATGCTACCTTACGCAGAAGAAAAAATGCCTCTACTCCATCGGTTCCAGCATGACAACGACCCCAAGCACACAGCGAAAATAATAAAAACATTTTTTGCAGATCACAATATGAATGTCATTAAGTGGCCAGCTCATAGTCCAGACCTTAACCCCACAGAGAACCTATGGGATTTAGAAGATAAAAAAAATCGGACTGAACATCCAGAAAAGTTCAAAAATAGTGCCGAACTATTTGAAACAATCGAAGTTGCCTGGAATTCTATTCCAAAAGAAACAATAGACAGCCTAATTGGTTCTATGAGACAAAGATGTCTAGCAGTTATCAAAAATAAAGGTTATGCCACCAAGTATTAGCTTCTTTGTATCCGACAATTGCTTGGTATATTATGTTTCTCTATTTTCGCTCGCTGTATTTTCTAATCATAATTGTTAGCATAGTGTTATTAAAGCAGAAATTTTATTATTACATGTTACATTAAGTTATAATAAAACATAAGTGTAGTTAGTTTACTTTAATAGTTTACTAAAATCTTTAAAAAAATAAAATGTTTCTCCACTTTTGCTCGCTACTGTACATAAAATGATCTATTTGGGTCATAATATAGCTTGAGCTAAGAGACTGGACCATTTTAACGCTTATGGAGCAAAAATTGCACTATTGTCTACGTCGCAGACCTTCCTACAACTTCTGCTGCAACAAGGCGTTTTATTTCACATAACATTTTTGAGGAAAATTTGTTTTGAGTTATCGTTTATTTTTAAACCGACTTACTTTGAAAACACGCTGGAGATATTGAAGTGTGACATTCAAAATCACTCTTCATACGATAGAGAGGAGGAAGTTTGAAGTTTCAAGTAAGACGATGGTGTTATATGCATATAATGTATTCGTTATATTTTTTTTACATTTTCTTTTTTTTTACAGGTGAGTCTTTTACCCCAACCTGATGTCTGGAATATGGCAGTTCGTACAATGGTCGTAAGTAAAATTAGTTTTGCCAGCATATGATAGACCCTGAAATTCTGCTACTCGAGCAGTCTTACTATGGTTTTACTGACGCTGCAGTCAATTTGGTAAGCCGCTATTTGTCAAATAGAAATCAAAAGGTCCTAACAGCTTCGAAAATGTCACAGTCAACTGCTATAAAGTTTGGTGTTCCTCAAGGTTCCATATTGGGACCTTCACTTTTCTTTCTATATATATCGGATTTTCATCAGTATGTCCTTAATTGCACAATCCATCACTATGCCGATGATACTCAAATTTATTTTAGTTTTCAACACAAAGATTTTAAAATAGCAGAAGCATTGATCAACGAAGACTTAACAAGTCTAGTAGACGTCTCGTGCTCGCATAACCTAAAAATTAATCCATCTAAATCTTCAGTTATGGTTTTCGGCTCAAAAAGCAAAAGAACATTGATCGAAACGGAAATTAACCCTAAAATCTATGATTGCCGGCTTCCTATAATAAACTAGTGTAAAAACCTGGGACTGGATTGACACCGAACTAAAATACAAAAAACACGTAAATTCGTTATGTAGTGCATCATACTGCATTTTGAAGCAGTTTTTTCCACATAGGCAAATAATGTGTACTTTAGTAAAGATGAAACTGTGTGAAACATTAATTATGTCAAAGATCAGTTATTGTGAAAGTATATATGGCCCTGCTCTATCATATAGTGAACAAAGCAAATTACAGCGTATTCAGAATTCGTGCGTCAGATTTTCTTGCGGAATACGGAAGTTTGATCATATTTCTTATAAATTTAAGGAACTTGGTATTCTGGAAATTAAAGGCATGCAAAAACTTCACTTATTGACACTCACACATAAGGTCTTAGCTACCAAACAACCACAATATTTGCATAATAAGTTAACACGATGTAGTGACATAAATCAACTGAATACAAGGAATAGAAATATGTTAGTGATACCCTTACATTCTAAGGCTGTCTACAAAAAATCATTCAGCTACAACGCTATTAAATTATAGAATGATCTGCCTGTTACATTCCGAAACTATACATTATTTAATTTTAAAAAGAGACTTAAACTAAATCTACAAATCGGGGTCTGAATACAAAATATGGACTATTCTTGTAATTGTTCTGTTTTTTTTTGTGTTGTTAATTATTTAGTAATTATTGAGAATTATGGATACATTTTTATTGGTGGAATGTTTTATTATATATTATTTTTGTTCTTTCAAAGGTTAAGTTGAAAAACGCTAATCGTAGCGACACTTCGCTTTTTTTGTATTTTTACTTAGGTACGAAATAAAGCCCTTCTATTATTATTATTATTATATAAGCAAATAAGAGTGACATATTCTCCTGCTCATCCAGAAGTATCCATGAAAACAATTTTTCAGTATGAAATTGTTTTTTCAACAAACCTCAAAGGTCATTCATGAATGTGTGAAAACGCCAATTCTGCATACCTGGTGTTTCAAATTCGACTCTCACCATTGGGATCTCGGAAACTGTAAGAGATACGAAATCGTTTAAAAGAGGGCGAAATTGCGTAAAAAACATAATTTTGGTTGGTCCTAAAGTCGCATGATTTAATTTTGTTCACAGTGCGAGTCGCGGCCTTGTGTGCTTGCGAACTTGCTCGACTGTGCATTCTACTGGCTCGCGCAACAAAGGGTTGTTATGCGATTCCGCTTGACTATAACGTAGCTGCGCTTGTTGTTTGTAGAGTTTTTTATTCTAATTCCAAAAATGTATTTTACGTCATACATTGACATTGCCAAACCTTAGTTATTTGAAAAAAGCAGAATCTCCTGTGTAGATCTTGAAATTTTCAGATAGTCATTTCTTTCGTATACCAGACCAGACCTCAAATTAAGAGTCCTGCTTTGCCTACAAAATAACGATACATTTCAAAGCGTGCCACACATTTTTTTATTGCAGATTTGAATAGGCCCTTTCAAACGAAACAAAAAGGTTTTGTTTACAAATTGTTGAGACATTAAAAAAACCTTCTAACATTGACAACTGGCATCTCGCCAACTCTTAATTCTACTGAATTTTTCGGTAGACAAATTTTATGATCCCATATTTTCTCCTTATATACTTTTGCAGTGTTTTATACATAGTGGTCAAGAACCTAAACTGAATGATTTCACAAAATTTTTAAATTGTATATTTCCACACCAATTCATTTCCAAGCTTTTTTTTAATAAGGTATATGGATGTTTCTATGACTGGTTTTTGAGTTACAGCTAACTCTTTGCAAATCAGATATCAAGACAAGTCAAACATATTACAGGACTTTTCAAAATGAAAAATAATATTGTAACGAGCGATTGATAGAGTTAGGGCTAATTTCACCATTATTAATGTTTGACCGTCAGTTTGGACCAATGAGAAAAGACCTTATTGAAAAACGATTTTATTATAAACAAGAGCACTTTTTGATTCCAACATTTGTACAGAGAAAACAGGTCATCTTCCATGTATTATGCTTTTTCTTATAAATTTACATATAACAGACCGTTATCACATTAACCAATGGAAATGCAGCAAATTATAGGTCGAGCTGTTAAATTTGATAGCACGTTTGAACGTTTACATGTCAATCTTGAATGTGTTAAGTTCGATATACTGAGTGTTTATACAATAATAATAATAATAATAGACGTCTTTATTTATCCACAGTTACATTGTAGTATAGCCAAATGTCAGACTTATATGGCGAAGTTTAGCATGCTGCTACTCTTACACTTAACCATATAGTCTCTAGCAGATGTTCAAAAGAATACACTATCCACAAACAGATTTGGTTCATTACATCGAAAGTAAAATTTAAAAAAAGAGAAAAAGGCATACTTTCCAAACCCAAATGCACCAAAAAATTATTAATCTGAATTAAAGATGGAATAAAAAAGAAATGAATGATTACGTAAATTATATGTGTGGAGGGTTGAGTAATAATGTTTTAACTTTTTGTCGAAAGTAATGAAAATGAAAATTCTTTATATACTTTAGGAAGGTCATTATAAATAATAGCAACATTGTAAGAAAAACTGCGTTTAAAAATTGTAGACGTATGCAGGGGTATTCTAATATTATTTTCTCTGAGAGTTCTACAGTGAACATCATTATTAAATGAAATTTTTTCCTTCAAGTAATAAGGTTTAGACGTGAGCACCAATTTGTGAACAAAAACTTAATAGTGATACTTGACCCTGTCATTAATTTTTAACCAGTTTAGAACGGGATATTTCGCTGATACATGATCAAATTTACGTAAGCCAAAATGCAATCGTATACAATTGTTTTGAATAACTTGAATA